GCGAAAACAGGCAGCTCTCGTTTGGATCCTTCCGGGAATCAGTCTGGAGCAAATAAGGTACTGTTTCCATCAGTGTTTTGATCTTCTTCCGAGCACTCGCTTATTTTTACTTTCCAGAACCATAACAGCTGGGAAAAACGACTCTGGAAGTCTGATGTTACCGGTATCATAGCCAGACCTTTCAATCTTGAGCAACATATCAACAGATAATAGTTTTCAGCTGTGCGATATAGGTGCAAAATCTTTTCTGTACCCTATTCTTTCGATATTTTTTCCTTTTTTTTTGACGGCATCGTTTTGTCGTATTTAACTTTAACCTTTACTTTAGGAGGGTAAGCAGTTGCCTGTCGAATTTTACTTTCTCGCATGGTCACAATGACTGCATAAAATCCCGTATTTGAGGGAGCGTCCGATTGCTTATGTGATCATAAAGCAGTATTTCAAGCATCGTTTTTCCTGTTTTAAATTTAATTATTAATTATTTTATGGTTATTATGTAAAAGATTGAAACTAAAAAGTAAAAATAAAATAAAAAATGTAAATTGAATTGGAATGTTTCGGTCTATTAAGTCGCATACATACCCATTCAGTGCTGCAACTGGACCTTGTCAGTGTGACGTTTGCAACAGAAGAAAAAGGTATTAGAAAAATGCATTATGGTGAGCAAAAAGGTCATTTTTCCTGTAGTTGTTTACGCCCTAGCCAGCATTCGCTTTCCTGCTTTTGTCAGTGACCAAGTTTTTCTGTTGTAAATTTTTCAAAATAATTGTTTAGTTTTTTTTATTTTTACATAAATTATTCAGAGTGCGCTAAAATTTAGTTTGAAAAATTGAGATTCAAATATTTATCTCAGAAAAAGATCCTTTTTTCAGATTTTTTAGCTTATTATCTTTGTTGCAGATACCGTTCTCTCGATCGGAAATACATTTGACGGATTCGTTGGAGAACATTTGTGAAAAAAGCTCCGAATGGACGGCTGTCGTTCATGCTACTACCGGGAAAGGTGTCTATGCTCGTCGAGCTTCGCTGAATCTTAAGCAAGTACCCGATCGTCCGACCATACATCAACTAGCCGAGGCAGTAAGGCTCAACAATCTGTTAACTCATTGCACGAGATGAAAATTTCCTTTTTCCGAGCTATTAATCCCCTGGGAATGCAGGAATAAAAAGGCCATAGAAAACCCGGCCAAAATTGGACAGTCTAAGCAAGGCCAACGAGGAGGTCGAAATTGTAAAGCGGTATTTTGCTGCCGTCGGCGGATAGAAGCATACCAAGAATGGCCATGCGAGAAAGTAAAATCAATGAGCAGAGGCAGGAAATGTTGCCCATCCTAGTGAGAACCAATGAATATTTCTTTTACTGAATGACAGCTGTGAGGAATGAATGGCTCAGAACGCTTACGAGGAGGTAGCGTGCCTAATCTGATTATCGCATGATTATAGCATGAAAGTAATATGAAGAACGTAGAAAAGAAGGCAAGAATAGAACGAACTATGTAATGCAAAAGGAAGGAATATTGCTGGCGCAGGAGAAATAAGAACGAGAGAGTTAAGACGTTTCGGTCCAAGGCAGTAGATAATAACTGGAAGTATACAGCTCAGGTGTGTGGAAACATCCCAGTAACATTAGTAGCACGATATTCCTACACGAGTTGTTTAGAGCACTTTTATTTGTTGAATTGCCGTAGGGCCTACTCTTCAATTTTATCAAAAGAAAACGTGAACTTGTTACTAATATAAAAAGTTAATGTACGCTCAAAATCCCACAGTTCCTGAGTTTTTATTTTATAAAAAACGTGGGCTTTTTCTTAACATAAAACGTTGATGTGCGCCCAAAATTTCGCTAGAAATCATGATACAATTTTATGTGGAAGTAACTGTTTTTTGTCCAAAAATCTCTCGGGCGGTAGATGGCTTTTCTTGTGGCTGATCTGACACAGAATGTCTCTCCTGAGTTTTAAATCTTATAGTGTGAGGCTGAATTATTTTGGTGTTTTTTCAGCTTAGTGTCCGGCAAATTTTGTATTCTAATCTGGTTAGTTTCCTGGGGACAAAGGAGGAGGTGGGGTGGAAGGGAGGGGAGAGAGTACCAATTTTGAGACCATTTCTAGTGGCAGCGGTATTAGAGCATCTATTTCATGTGCAGGTGGAGGCCCAGCGATGTGCTTTAGAAGGCTGATAAGGTATTTTTCTGGTCAGATATTTGTGTTTGGTAATTTTCTATGTGCGGTGTGGATTTGCTATTTTCAAAGGTTAAAAATGAGGAAAATGAAAGATACCAGAGCGTTCTGCTTGGGTAAGAGGAAATAAGGGGAAGCAAGGTCTATTGCGTCAGAATCTTGTTTGCTATTTTTTGCAGTGTAGCGATTTCCTGGATACATATGAGGACGAACTGGTCAGTTTTGCACGTCACGAACACAAAGAACCGGTGCGCGAGTTCTGCCACGAAAGGATAAGTTAGTTTTATTGGGTTTTTTGCTTGTTCCTAAGAGT